GCTACAAAGCAGCCACCTCTGCTCAGTTCTAACTACCCCTGGCCAGGTGCAAGTAAGGAGCAAACTGTGGTTTGGCACAACATGCTGGTGATACCCTGCAGCTTTAAGGAGAAGAAAGTGGAGGTTCAGAAAAGCTGAATCACAAGAGCAGTGTAACACAGAGCATAGCAGTCATGGGTACTGCACTGGTACTATCATTGTCTCCATAATATGTGGTTTCATGTGTGTGTGTGTCGTGGTTTAACTCCAGCTGGGAACTAAGTACCACGCACCACTCACTCAGTTCCACCCCCCAGGGTGGGATGGGGAGGAGAATTTGAAAAAAAAAAAAAAGGAGGTGCAGCCAGACAGAAGGCTAGAGAAAACAAGTTCCCTCCCAAACTATGTTGACAGAAATGGCTGTTTGGACAGATTACTGCCCATTTGTAGCGTAATTACGATCCAAACACACACAATCACAGTAAAAGAAAATCCTAAGTGACCAGTATTTGTGTTGTACATAGCACTAGACTTTAACATGCATTCAGATAACAGATGATTTTGGACTAGAGAACTGACATTTGGTTTATCCTCATTTGGTGCTGAACCATTTTAATTTCCAAAGGGAGCACCTCAGCATGGCATGTAGCAAAGTCCTGTTCTGATTTGGTGTGTCACAGATGTCTAATGTGCTTCTTGTGCATCAAGTGTTCTAAGTCACTACCCCACTTGCCATCACGTCCACTGAAAATCATGTATGCTTGCAATTTAGAAATGTCATTGTTCATAGCATAAAAGTACAGAGAAATAGAAAGATTCCTCTCCTGTTCCCATTAGATACTCAATCCTGTTCTCAGCAGCAAGACAGAGAGCCTGACTCAATGGAAAGCATTAATTTATAGTTTACACCGGCCATTACAGAATTCAGAAGAGATGTGTAGTACAGTTGAAAAAGATTTTCAGACAAAATTCATAGCTGTTTTTTCTTGCATTTGTGTTAAGCAAAATACAAGTTTAGATCTACAAGAGAAATGGTTGGGTATTTTTTTGTCTATGACTTAAAGTCACAGTACATATGTATTTTCTGTTCTTTACATACTTACTGAAGTAATTTTAGAATCAAGACAAGAAGAAGTGAACATTAACAGGATCTGTACTTTTTATCTGTGTTATTAATGGACTGCCTAAAGTCATTTAAAATTAAATCATGACTGCCGTATCACATTCAACCTACAACAGAATAAAAAGGCTGCTTTTAAACAAAGCTGCACAAATTCTACCGAAAGAAGTTACCTACAGCATGTAAGCACAGCCAAATCCCAGTGAGTTAGGCTTAAATGAATATTATATATTAATTCATCAGAACATTTATAGGTGACATACAGGGAAAGTATCAGGAGAGAAACAAGAAATCCAATGAGCTACAGAGTGCAACTCCACTATATGGTCTAGCATTAACAGCCCCAAGCAAGGAATAGTATATAGCTGATTACCACTTTTATGTTCCCTACATACATCCTATGCCTATCTAGTGTGTCTAAAAAGAAGCAAACTTTAATTGTTTTTCTTATTCCAAAACTTTGGAAACAACTATCCTATCCAGTTTAAAAACCTGCATACTTTTAATGCTGCTGACAAGGAGAACAGATTTGTTCAGTTCTTAATACTACACACCATTACAAATTTAAACCATTTTTGGTACTTAGGGTCTTGTCAATGTTCTTTTGTGTGCCAAAACTACTTTGGCTGAAAACTGGAGTTGGGAATACTTTCTCCTAGACTACCTGCCTGGCAAGCTCTCACATCAGCACTTGCAGCTGAACAGAGAGATAGCCTGAAAATCATGAGGATCAGTTCTGTTAATGCTTTGCACTGTGAAACACCCAAATTTTTATATGCACCTGAAAGTTTGTTGTCTTAAATTGCTATGAAACTGACACTAACATTATGGTGGGGAAAAAAAACCCCAAACAAACCAAACAACAGCTGATTTTAAAAATACAAAGCTTTCAAAAAATACTTACTTTACATAGAGGCAGATACTCCAAAACAGATACTAGAATCTTTAATTAGGACAAAGAAGTTTTCTGTTTCATCTAGCTAATATTAGTGGGTCTCTTCACAACGTAGGATCCACTCCATATGACCAGATCTCTCTCCTACATGTTGCTTCCCCTTACCAGGATACTGTACAATAATCAGTTCCACAGGAATGTCTTGTAATTCCTAGATCAGCTACTTAATCACAATATCTATTTTGAACACTTTTTCAATAGCACAGACCTTTTTTTCCTTGACATGTAAAAGATACTTCAAAAATGCTCAAGTTCATTGGGCAAAGCCAAAGAAAATACAATCTGTCTAGACAACAAAAATATCATTTAAATGAAAGCAAAGGTCAATGACCAGAATGGTACATAATTTGAGTACAAATTAATAGCTTGTCGCTTATGAATAAAATACCCTGCATGCAGGGAGGAGAGAAGCAGTTCAAATCTCAAGTCATAACTCCTTATAAAGCAGAGAGAAATCACAAATCATGCAAATACATGAAGAACAACAATCAGTGGGGCTCATGATCAGATTGATAAAGAGCAGACATGAAGGCAACCTACACATTTGGAACAGCAGCATAAAATTTAAGCAAATAATCTTTGACAAATTGATGCCCAAGCCAGGGAAAGGTTGCAAGTGCTCATATTGGAAGCAACTATTCAGTAAGTGTTCCTAGAATCATAGAGTGGTTTGGGTTGGAAGGGAGCTTAAAGATCAACTAGTTTCAACCCCCCTGACATTGGCAGGGACACCTTCCACTAGACCAGGTTGCTCAAAGTCCCATCCAGCCTGGCCTTGAACACATGGAGCATCCACAACTTATCTGAGTAACCTGTTCCAGTGCCTCATTACCCTCACAGAAATTCTTTAATTTCTTCCTTATACCTAATCTAAACCTACTCTCTTTCAGTTTGAAGCCACTGCCCTTTGTCCTGTCACTACATGGTCTTGTAAAATGTCCCTTTCCAGCTCCCCTGGAGGTCCCCTTTAGGTACTGGAATGCTGCTATGAGAACTCTCCAGAACCTTCTCTTTCTCCTCCAGGCTGAATAACCCCAACTCTCTCAGTCTGTCTTCATAAGAGAAGCATTGCAGTCCTCTGATCACGTTCACGGTCTTCCTCTAGACTCATTCCAACAGGTCTATGCCCTCCTTTCTTTGAGAGTCCCAGAGCTGAACACAGTACACAAGGTAGTGTCTCGTGGCTCTTCCTTGAAAAATAGGGGTTACGTTTCCTTTGCATTCACTCTTTAACTCAGTGAGAGTTTAATTCTATTGCAAGTTTTTAAGCTTCTTAAAAAAACTAAAATGTTTACATTTTGCATTGCTGTGATATCCAACCCTCACAATAACTAAAATCAACTCAGTGGGAAAAAACCAGAGGAATATTAAAGCTGTTGCAAATGCCAAACTTCCAGACGGAAGGCACATTGGCATACAGTGAATATGGATCTGTGCCCCAGATTTTGTGCATTAAGTCCCAGACTTGTAGAATCTCTGTGTGGAACAAAAGACACCTGAATACACAAATGACCTAATGTTGATGGCTATGCACACCATCATTCTCCTTTTCCCAACATACAAGTGCACGTGCAGTGGATTTCTTTCAATTCATTATCTACCCTCAAGCAATGGGCTTATAGTCAAGACGTAATCACATCCTCAATACAAAATGAGAAAAAAATCTTCTTGCCTCCTTCAGATCAAGTACAAAACCCAGACCATCTTCATGTAAAACTCAGGTGGGCTCAGAACGTGCCCTGCTGTAGCACTGTGAGGCCCTAAATGTACTATGCTATGCTTGTTGCTCTCTACGGACCCAATTCAGACAGAACCACACCCATGCACTTGGGATGAAGTTTTAGTTCACAGCAACTGGCCTTTAAGTATTCTTGCTCTGCACTGGTGAAAAATAATCTGAACCCTGAGGTGTTTTTTTTCAGCCTTACAACTTCCCCTATGTGGTTCACAGCATGACCTCGTGAACACTTACTGCAGCACTGCTGAAGCAACAGAATTAAAGGAACAACCAACCAGGCAGAAAACTCCTCAAGCTAGCATTTGGCTAGAATGGTTCCACATGCATTAAGTATTTTGCCAAACTTACACCTTCCTCCTGTGTCCTTTTATCAGTAGTAGAAATTACAATAGTGTTACTTGCTTTGCCCAAACAGAATTTGAATGCAGATGTTACAAGTCATTTTTATCTGGGATAAAAAATTAATTTCACTCCGAATTTGAGAGGAATCTAGATGTAAATGGTAACTGTGGCACATTAAATAGTGCATTAGTTACAGTTAACTCAGTTACAGTAATTTTTGTGTGAAAACTAAAGGCTTTCTCATTTTAAATCAAATAATTAACTTCAGTTTTCCGAGTTCTTTGTCTGAAAAAAACAGTTCACACTACAAACACAATCAATCCCCTGTTGACAAAATAGAAACAACTGTAGCAAGAGGAGAGAAGAATCCTACAAGGACCAGTACATAAATGTCACTGATAAAATGAGTTCCACTCATTCACATTAACAGCTGAGGGGTTTAGAATATTAAGACCCTTCTAGCACTCCATACAGTATGACAAACCAGGTCAAGCAATCATGTGTGACACTACCAATGTTTAATTTGACAATCTAAGTAGATGGAAGAAAGCTCTGTATCTCAGCTTAGCATTCTAGGCCCTTCTCCATTACCCTTCCTTATGAAACAAAACTACTTCATTTTCCCTCAGCTCACCGTGGCTTTCAGTTATCTAATTTTGCAATTCTGCCCATCCTGTCCTCCTCTTCTACCCAGTGCAAGCAACTGCTTTATAAATAAAAATGGAACAGAAATGGCATTTATTTAATAACCATTCAGCCAGAGTCACTTCCAGAAGCTTTCTGCAATCTGGTGACCCTTATTCAGGATCTCAGTAGCACAGTGGCTGGAACAGGCAAGTGAGAAGTAAATGCATCCCAGCTCTTACCTGACCATGGTTGTGAAGACTTAAATCCAGTCCACATGTAAATTCAGTATGATGCTCAACTGTTTCCAGCAAAGGATTAGGCCTGGAAAAGTCCCAAAATCTATAGAGAGAAGAAAGGAGAAACAGAGAAAGAGAGTAAAAAAAATAAATCAAACAAACCACAATTAAAGTAATTGAAAGGCCATTTGGAAAATATAATGCAAGATATTGACAAATCTCTTGCTGCCAGGGTATTTAAAAAAGCAAACTCATCCACTTAGGAAACATAACAAATCATACTCCTGCAAAGCCATCTGCTGATTTGCATAAATTAAATCCCACTGGGCAAAGCCATCTTTGTCTCCTGTTGCAGAAACTGAGATCAAAGTTGGCACCAAAGAGCAGCCATTGGGATATTATTAAAACAGAAAAAAAAAGTAGGCTAGCATACTCTTGTTATATTTCTTGATGGCTGGGGAATTTTATCCCATTAAATCCTGCTATTTAATGAAAGACATTAGCACAATTTATGATTTTTTTCAGTTTTTGATATTGTAAACTATGGGTTCTTTATTGAACTGAATATTGGTCATTCACAGTCTCAAATTTAAGACTCTGTTCCCATAAAACAGAATTTCATATCATAATTTAATAACAAATTTGCACTACAAGGATCAGCTGCATTACACAGATAATTCCACTAACTCGTATGTCAAAAAGCAATTTCTCTTTTGAGCCTTGGTTGACATAAATGCTTAGATAATAGACTTCTTCAGTGCTCTACTTCTCCCACCAACTGCCCCATTAAATGCAATGTCCATCAATGCAGCTGTTATAGCAAGCATAAGAGAGGTGTAAGGAGGATGGGATGAAAGCATAGATAAAAGAAACCTCAGTCATGAGAAAAGGATTCAGAAATATAATGTTCAGGTAACAACACAGTGACAAGACACCATATGATGGCACAAAACAAAGATCTGTTCATCTTTCTTGCGCTGTATATACTGCTTAAAAGAGTCTATAGGCTGCACAGCACATTTTGTGGGCTGGCAGCTGTAATCAAATGGTCTACAGGTCAGGTTTTCCCACAGTGGTCAATTATATGCTCTACTACTTCTTGTAACAACCACAGAGCTCTGTGCTTACTCCTACTGGGGACAGTGACAATGCTTAACAAGAACAGCTCATTATCAGACCAGCTACACTGAAAGCACTGTAAGTTCAAACCAATTCAGGTAAAATAGCAAACACTGGAGACAGCAGGGCCAGTTTGTTTAATATGTAGATGTTATTTCCTTCATAAATGAGCAGAGTGATATCAGCACAATGGCTACACCATAGCAACAACCCTCTTAACTTTTTCCTAGTACCCGAGATCTAAGATAAACAACTTATTTTGCAGGAGAGTGGAGCAAAAGACCAGCTCAGCATTTTTCATTTGTTCACAAGAAGGGAAGGAAACAAATCTTGTTGTTTATAAGTAATAGTGATAGCCTTTCTCACCACATCAGCCCTCTACTAACTCTTGAAAGACAGATGCTCATAACTGAAAACTGTGATTAAAGGAGATAACTTCAGATCCACAGGAATAAAAACTTCAAAGACTTCCTGCTCAATTTTTAAAATAGTAGGACAACTTGGCGTTTGATGTACAAAGTCATGTTTGCAAGAAGTCAGTAGCAGTATATAGTTTTAAGAGTACTGCATATTAACTCCATACTTTGAATTTCCCTCTCTTGCATGCTCATGATCTCTCATTAAATTTGTAAAAGCTTAGAAAATTTAGATTACAAATTGTCAAATCTACATCTGGAAATGGTATAGAAAAATTTTATCTCAATGAAGCATTTACTAGACAGGGGTTAAATCCAAATCATTATACCCAAGTATGTAAAAACTCAAGTTCAAATCAACACTCTCTTTTTCTTAGCTCCCAGTTAACCCTGTCCTGGCTGGAACCAGGACACATCTTTTATATATTTACCAAGTATTTTTATTCTTAAATTGAAATGTATTTTATGTGTGCATATACTCATGCCCATATATCCACACATGCATATGTGACAGGATGCGTGCATGGATATGCTTGTGGAGTGTGTGGTGCATCCAGGCAAACCCTGAGCATTTCTAAGTGAACTCTACTTCTTCCTGTGAGCTACATTCCTTTCTGTAAATGACACTAGAAGGTATGTGGTAGAGACACAACATAGTCATCAAAAGAGACATTCCCAAAGGTTTACGGTAACAAATTTCCTCCATTATACAGAATATTTTGCTTGTAACACCTTTTCCAAAGACTTTCCCTGGGTCTTCTCTGTTGTTTGTCCACTCATACCAAACCCAACAACTAATAGTTTAGAAAACTGTTAAAAATCTTTATTTCATCTCTTCAGCCATGCCCTCTGTCCCTAGGCACAACAAGTAATTATTCAGACAGAAAAAGAATGCCTAGAATGAATTTTGTGAAGCTCTGCATTTACAGACACACTGCTAGGTGAGCTAGGAGCTTTCTCATCTTTACTGACAGTTTCCACATAGGAAAATGTCGGAGCTGAAACTGCACCAGATTTCAGTACTGCATGAAGCACGTTAGTGCCAAACCTGAAGAATATGCAGTTGGTGCCAAAAATGGGGAGAGAATGACAACACAATCAAGTCACTTCAATGCATCAGCAGGCTGATTATTAGTCTTATTGCTCAGACAAGGCCACTAGAAGAAACCAATTACCACTTTTCATCTTAGTCCTAGAAGTCTTTTGAGAAACAATATACTGCAAACCAGCTGGCACCGCATCAGTAAAGGATGCTAAGTAAGATCCCATAAATAACCTTCTACAGACCACTGTGCAGTATTATATGAGAAGTGCATTTGAAACAGAAACAAAATTAAGCATTTTAGATAAGAGAAATGCTTAGGGTGCCCCTTTACACACCTGCATGCTTCTGTTAGCTGCATTCTGGGAGCTGTGACCCAGAGCTTGAATGAACACAGAGTATTCAGTTATATTACTCTCCTAGGAAGAGTTTTGAAAATATACAGAACTCCTACAATGCATAAGAGGCTGTTATTGATGCAACTGTCTATGATGTTATGGCTAAAGACTGTACAGATTTATGATTTAGAAACATGCACAGGCACTGAGAATTAGCAAGATTTTCCTTTGGAAACAGAACCTTTCTATATCTGGTGTCAGACCATCTAGGACACAACCAGAAGTGACATTAATTGGGATCATTTGGACAAGTGGGATAACTTTGCAGTCATTTGTGGAGAAAAGAGGACTTTTCCCATTTCTAAATGTACTGCCTACTATTTTTAGTTCAGGTAGGAAAATTAAAATATAGATCAAAGAATGTGATTCCACACTGTGGAACAATACTAAAGCTTCCTCAGATACTGGCAAGACAAAAACTTTGTTCATAAAACGCTTAAATAAAAATGTCACCTAATGATATGAATTTAAGAGGTTATTACCTTTTCATCAGACATTATCACAGCTGGATGCAACTATGTTCAGCAGAGTGGTGTGAAAAGGATCACAGAAAGCATCTGCCAGAGCAGATACCACTCAGAAGAGTGGCTGAGCTAGCCTGTAAGTGAAGAACCTATGCATTTTGAACATGGCTTATGAAACATCTGATGGCAACATTAACTGCATTCTGGTATGTCTACTCTAGAACTGTTATCTACCGCAAGTCACATTACAACAGATTAACTTTTCATTTTTATCCAATTTTAAAAAACCCAAACTGTACCTCACAGTAAAATCATAGGAGCAGGAGGCCAATAAGGTTGCATGGAATGGTGAAAACTGCAAGAAAACAAAACAACTTTTAAAGTAAAAACATTGTGAACATACACAGACTTACTATAAGCAGAAAGCTATCCAAGTTTAACTATTTAAGCAGTCTTGGTAGGTACCACATCACGCTGCAACAAAACAGTCTACATCAACAAATTTCTCCAATATACTTCTAATTACAAGGAATCATAGAATCATAGAATTAATAATTATAAGGAATGATCTATGGGATCCTGCTTTGTTTTGATTTCATTACAGCAGTGCCAAATAACCCTGCTGTAAAGTTAAGTTCTAGAACAGTCATATAAACAGACATTAAATTTTGCTTTTGGCTGACAAGCTGAGTGTCATCTCATTATATAAAGCAAGTTTCAAAACAGCTATGTGACCAGTTAATTACTTTCAGAGAGACAAAATCTGTGCCATACTGCAGAGAGCATACAATATATTACTCTCATCAATTCCATGTCCTAATATTTTGAAATTTTTTCTAGAAATGGGAAAATTGGAGATGAGTGGAAGAACTGAAGGCAGTATAACATCACTTCATTATTTCCCCCTCTCCTACAGAGCATTTTATGGGACACACTCTTCTAGAGACTGGTCTAAGAACTGCAGCAATAAGGATGCAGTTATGCAAAAATTATTCACCTCAGCTCCAGCTTTCTAGCAACCCTCAGTTTCCAACTATTTTAAGGCCTGTATTTCTCAACAGGAAATACACAAGTTGTTGACATAACTGGACTGTGAAATGCAGGTCTCCCACATCATGGTTCATAGGTTAGAGTCTTCCTGCAAGACTTCCAATATTATTCACAGCAACTACAAAGTCAAAAGTTAAGTCTGGGCCATTGCCACAACTGCCCGAGTTGCCAAGCAAGCAGTCTAAGTTGATAACTGCTGAATTCCACTGACAGAGTTCTCTTTACTACAGCAGGATCGAGGGATGTGGATGCTTGAATTTTAACCACCATGGATTTCCTATAACTTTTCTGGAGAGGAAAAAAAGAATCACAACAAAACATCTTTTTCTTCTGCACCCCAAGAAAATGAATAATAAAGAAGTCTGATGGGCAACAAAAAACAATGGTATACTTTCCATAAAGCCCCTTTACGTCCCTGTCCACATAGTTTCAGATGAAGCAAAAACATCTTGTCAAAAACACCTTGTCATTAACCTTAAGTACCCTAGAAACCTACCTAAGCAAACTCTATTAAAATACTTAGCAGAGCACTACACATGTAAGTCGGAAGAATTTGCATAATGTCTTTCTGCTCCAAGAGAAGACAGTATTTTAAAATTCTGTTCCATTTAACTGTAAGATATTACAGTTTATCATCTGAACAGTTGCATAGACAGAACAGACCAATAGATCATCCATCCTGACCTTCAACAGATCATTCATCCAAACATCTTTTTAGGTAAAGTCAAAAACTGTAACTATGCTTCAGGATAAGATACTGAAGCCAGTTAAGAATGTGAGAGTCAAATGCACCAACACAAAAAACTCCTGGAAAGGACTCCAAATGACCTCAGTGTGCTGATAAAGCCCTGTACTGTGATGAAAGACCACAGGAAATCTGCATGAATTCTGACAGTATGGTGTTGGGTAGAATTCCTTGCCAGCCTGAGATCTGAGAGTCAACATAACCCTGAACAAGGGAACAGAATACAAGAGACAGACGACTGAAGAGTGTGATTTCATGGTTGGTTTAAGCTAATTTAAGAGAACACTGCTGCCAAGACTCATGGCTTCCCCTTTGGACTTCAGGCTGTGTTCTCCTGCCCCCGTCCTTTGTGTCAAGGCTTGCAATTGTGTGGTTGAGAACAAATTGAGACAGCTTAGTGATCCAGACAGAAACTAGTCACTTTTAAGGGCACGATTTTCAGTCAGAGCCATCAGCTGAGCCAACTTGCTACACAGCTTTCTAACTGCTAGTGTCAGCACAATGTAGGGGAAGGGGTATCTGTAGGGACAGCTGCCTCTATTTAGGCAGCACCCAGGTCTCTCCCTCTCCATTTAGTGTGACTGGTGAGTTACACCACACAAATGCAGATATGCTGCAGCACCTCTAAGTGCTGGCTCACATTCCCATATCTTATGTCCACAGGGACCATGTCTATCTTGAAATGGAAGCAATGAAAGACTCTAAGACAGAAGTCACATACTCTCACATACCTCTGCTTTGCACAGGGATGTATATACAGGCTCCTCAACATCTCCTTAAAGCCACTTAGTGGCTTAGATCTCATAGACTGGTGCAAAGAAAGTTCTACTGCTGGCCAACTCTTAGTAATCATTTCAAGGCATTTTAAGAAAACAAGGAGTATGATGGGCCATAAAATGCAATGGGATGGTATAAAAATATAAAAGATCCTCTACCTGGTCAGGCTGACAATCTTTGAGCTCAGTGATCTATGCTTACATAGCATTTTTGGTATTTTAGTTTGTACCAATGACCTCTGGTCTTTTCACTAGATACCACTAAGAAGTGACAGGCTTTGTCCTCTCCATTCCCCTCAAACATTCATATGCAGTGGTAAGATCCTCCCTAAACCTTGCCTTCTCCACGCTAACAAATCTCAGCTCGCAGCTTCTCCTGGTAAAACAGAGGTTCCAGTCTCTTAATCTTCTTTATGGCCCTTTGCTGAATTTATTCCAGCATGTCCATGTCTCTCCCTGTTGTACTGGGAAGCCCAAAACTGAACCCAGCAACCCAAATGTGGTCTCACTGGTGTGGTGAGTAGCAGGGAAATAGCCCAGGATGATAGTAGGGAAATTAGAGATCCTATCCCTGTCTAGCTCTTCTACTATCTATTTATCATCCAGCTGCTATCCTATCAGCATTTGACCTGATGACACTGCCTGTCTATGCAAGCTCTTGTGCAGAGAGCTAAATCAAGAAGTCCACTGTTTGATGTGCAAAAGAAGTACTTCCATCTGTTTGTAAACACATCTTCTACTAATTTCATCAAGTGCCCTTTAGTTCTATTATCGTGGGTTACAGTGAATAACAATTCTGCATTAGCTTTCTCCATTTTATTATGAAGGCAACTTGCAGAGTTGTTTTTAAAAGATCTCTAACTGTCACAGAGTGAGAATATGAGAGTCTGTATTGATTCATCTGTCTTAACTGGAATTGAAAAATGATCTTGTTTAAAAAACAAGAAAAACCAAACAAATTCCAACAGCACTGCTAAATGTTCCACTACCACAATTTCTCAGAGCCAGATTAAAGCGTGGTCATGCAGGCATTAAACTAGAAAAAAAGACTGGACATCCACCACCAGTGGAGACAGCAGGCAAGGATGGCTGGGATAATGAGGAGCAGAAGCTTCTCAGGCTGTCTGGCCACAAACAGGATTTGTGATATGGAATGACTGAGTCACACCCTTTTCTGACAAATTAGAAACTATGCCCAATTGTAATATTGGTGCATTTGACTCTAAAACAAATTCGTGTTGGTGGGTGATCTAGCAGTAGACAGACTCAGTATAGCCATCAGTAGCCTTTCATGCATAAAGTTTCAAAATCTCTTTCAACATATTAATACTTTCTTTGTAGACAGGAAAATACTTATCCGCAACCAGTTCTATACCTTGGGTTTTTATGAATATTGACCCTTTGTGTGGAAAAACAAAGCCACAGAATCATATAAAAATCAAAAAGTGAAAGTACTTTCTCTGTCTCAAATTTCACATATAACTTCACTGAAGTAAACCTCCCACAGGCTCTCTAACACTTCTCGTGGAAATGCATTGACTTTGAAGATGTCATTTACTTTGAAATCCCAGCAATCTACTACACATCAATGTTTTACCGAGCTCAACTGGATGCTTTCAAGCACAGTCACAGTGGCATCTGATATCTTCAACACTTCTTGTTCTTTTCCTAGTTGTTAGATAATATAAAATAATACTGCTTTCCAGATAGATTTGTGGAAAATAAAATATAACTTACTTTTACTCTTCTGATAGCATAGGTATGACCAAGCAAGACGAACACTGGTTGCCGGATGTTCCGTAAATCCCAGCCTTTCAAGCTACAGTCAACTGCACCAGTTACCAGCAAGTTCTGATGGTTTGATGAAACACAAATATCTCAGGACAATTTAATTACTAAATCACAACAATGCACATGTTGGCTACAAAAGTTAGTGAAAACAAACAATCAAACAAACAGACGAATTAATAATAAAGGAGGTCAGGTCGCCAGTGTGTAAATTAAAGAGCACAGAGAAATACAAACTGTTTCTCCACTGTGGACTATTCTGTCCACTATAGGAAAGAAAAAGCAAAATCTCCGATCCACTTGGGTTGTCTGTCTGTTGGAACAATGCTCTTCTGGAAATGTAATAGTGAATGAGAGCAAAAAAGCAACTAGACAGATTTTTATAAAGATGCAATAATGTTGCAGTAAAAACCTCCTGCTATTTAATGAGAGTGGTTCAATTAGGAAAACAGTCAGTTGAGTGGTTTTATACCTCATCATATTTGCACCAGTCACAGCTCAAGATCTCAGCCTGGTGGGCTGGTATCACAAATTTGACTCCTGGGGCTTTCACATCCCAAACTCTTAAAGTCTGATCACCTGAAACAAAGAGAAATGGATTTGGTTGTTGCATCAGTTATGGGATATAGTTAATCCATTAGTACTCAGTGGAAAATTGTTTCTTAGCTGCATGAAATACAAATGATTATATGAGGATGCTCATGCCAAATAAAGCAAACACATTATAGACACAGAAGTCAGATTGATGCAAAAAAGGTATCCAAACTTACTACTGCTCTTTCCTTAGGAAAAAAAACCCCCAAACTTCATTTTATTACTAACACTTCCAATATTTTTAAACTCTGATTTGATTAAAAGGAGATGGGGCAAAATAACTGATATAACATTTAAATAAACTAGGAGCTTAAGGTCCATTTAAAAATGAACTTAGAAGATTAGAATAATGCAAAAGTTTCTTTGCAAGCCAGCTGAGAAGTACCACCCAGACATGTGCTTTTGGCACAAAGTGAACATACATTTGAAATACAACTTCTATCCAAATTCCTTCAATGAAAGGAAAATTTAAGATGCATTACCTATTACTCTCATTTATTGAAATACTAGAAGGTAAAGTCATTCTACTGTAACTGTTACAGATATGAAAGTAAACATCTGCTTTAACCTTGGAGCACACCTGCACACGTGTACATACACAGAGAGGTCTTCAGAGAGCAATAAAGGGAGTTCAGCTTAACTTAAGCACTGTGAGTTACCTGTGCCTCTCACTTTACCTCCAACCATAAATTGTCTTCCACCCCTAAAGATCTTTAGCTATGCAAACCATTAGGAACTGAATTTGTAAGCAGGTTGTATAGCTAAAGATCCTACATCAGCTGACAGGGCAACTGTGTTTTTCAATTTTTTTAATTAGGATACTCTCATTAGCCCTGAATATTTAGCTTTGTATCAGCAAAAATGGATTCTTTAGCTCATTTGTTTACAGAGAGAAAAAATTAATTAGAATTGATGACTATGCCTATGTTCATTCAAGAGGCAAATTAAAACATTAAAAGTTGAATCCACATACCCATGATTTCTACAGCGAGGATGTAACAAATTAAAATTTAAATAAAATAAAATAAAATAAAAATAACCAACACTGTTTGCCTTGCTACTGAAGAAATTATTGATACATTTTTAACAGAAACACTTCTGGAAATTTTCAAATTGATTGTCATCAATAACTATTATTTTCATGCTGTTTAGATACAAGCATTTTGATGGGTTTAGTGCCCTGTTGGTCACTGGCCTTAAAATGTACAACTGGACACCAAAAAAAATCAGAGCTCTTTTTGAGAATCTGGCTACAGGTCAAATAAAACCATCCCTAGAGCCACCACGACAACATTCCTATTGCAAGAACCTGCAGCCTTCACAAAAAGACAAAACATTTGGAAAGCTTCAATTAAAAAATTAAGGTAGAGCTTGGTTCACTACATGTTGCAAGATGTGGCCTTCTGACTGCAGTACCACACAGACCATGGGCAGCTTCGCTCTGGTGGTTGGTTGGGTGTCCTCAGACCTCATGACTGCAAGAGATACTGTGTGAGGGATAAATTCCCCTCTGTAAGGTGGGGACAACACAATTTTTTTACTATTTTCGTTCCCCTTGCCTCCTGTCAGGAGCAAGACTGCTGCTCAGTACATGTCTAACGCTCCTGACAATGACAGCCTGCAGTCAGCTGAAGCCTCAAACCCCACTAAAGTGCTTATAAAAACAGGGCAACATATGGAGGGGAAGAACACAAGCAGCAGGGGTTTGGCACAAAACAGGTAGTACACCTATCCACTCACCATCAGTCTTGCTAATCTGCTTGCCTGCAGAGGACAGATTTCAGTTTGCATCTTAAGTCTTTCTGAGATATTATTATGGACTTCTTAAAAAGCTTTCATTTCAATTTCATCAGATAACAGATTTGAAGGGAAAACACATTTCACTATAGACAGGATCATTTTTCAAAAGCAAATAAATATATAAATCCAGGTGAACTAGAATGAACTGCTACAGTAGCATTATGAGGGCCAAAAACATTTGGAAAAGTTACCCAGCCAATAACAATTTTGACACTACATATACAATTGCCCCAATTACTTCTTTGTTAATAGAAAATGCTGATGCATGAGAAAAGAGTTATTTTCCTTTTTTTTCCCTTTGAAAATGCTAGACTTAGCTGTTATTAATTCTGGCTGGCACTATCTGTGAAATACTTTTAATGGAGTAACATAACATGCAAGTGAACCTTTCTGTGAAAAGACTGAACTAAAGCCAAAGGCAAACCCAATTTTTCCATTTAAGTGGAAAAAATCAAACAAAAAAAAAAGCTGATGAACAGTGCAATCCTGACACATCACACATTTGAACAGATTTTTTTAATTACCTCACTATATACATATACCTACATTTAATTTCAACAAAAACTGCTGCTAAAATTTTGGAATTTCCTTATTTCCATGACTCCTTCAAATCCCCATTACTAAGGATGCATTTCTTCCATATGGCAATGCAAAAGTAGGATAATAATAACAGAAAGTACAAGTAAAGCACACCTAATACAATCCTATTCACTAACAGCCACTTCCAGTTGGCATCCCAAAGTAACCAACCACAAAAGTAGCCAACATTTCCCCCACAAAATATTTCTATTTTTGTAAGAAGCAATTTCTCTGTGGCAACAGATTTTGCTGGTCTGTTAGATCATTATGAATCCAGATTTGTTTGCATATTGTACTTGTTTTCTTTCACTTTAATGAATATTTGTGAAATCTTGGATTAATCAATAGAACTACACAATGTACACTCATCTATTCAGAATTTTTGAAAGAGATGCTAATCTACAAGCACATTATCCTTATACACAGCATAATGACTGCTAATGTGAATGATAACGTATGATAGCGAAAAGACAGTTTATTTAGCATTTAAATTTCATGTAGGTTTTATACTAACTATTTTTCCTCATGGATATATTTTACCTAAATCCATAAATCATAATTTCCTAAGTCCTGTGAGAACAACTAGCTAAGAATCATTGCCAGACAGTACATAGCAATATTAACTCTAAAACACAGCTAGGTATTTGGGAGGTTAGTAATACCCCAAGAAACCTTAAACACTATCTGAAGGGAAAAAGGATTCTTACCAGGACAGGTACTGTGTTTTTCAGGAACCAAGGTACTGCTAGCTTAAAGTTTTACTTAAAAAATGAATCTGATGGGGTTTTTTTAAGTTCTAAAGCCAGAAATATGATTTTCTTGCGCTGCTCTGTCATCAGAAGGAAAAAAAAAGCCCAAACAACAAATAATGTATCTTTATAATATATCTTTAATTTACTGTAGGAAAATAATTCAGTATAAAAGACACAAGTATAGGCATATATGGTGTAACATCACAGGATCATAGAGTGGTTTGGGTTGGAAGGGACCTTGAAGATCATCTAGTTCCAACTCCCCTGCCATGGACAGGGGCACCTTCCACCAGACCAGGTTGCTCAGACCCCCATCCAGCCTGGCCTTAAACAATTCCACAGATGGGGCATCCACAACTTCTCTGGGCAACCTGTTTCAGTGTTTTACCACCATCACAGTGAGGAACTTCTACCTAATATCTAATCTAAACCTACTCTCTTTTACTTTGAAGCCATTACCCTGTGTCCTATCACTACATGCCCTTGCAAAAAAGTTGCAGAAATCCCGAAGTACTTCTGCAGTGTGACTGAAGAATTACAAGTTAATAGTACTTACTTACTTGAACGTATTTTTAAAATACTAAACCAGATTCATTTGTTTAGCCATAATCAAACAGAATACCTGTGGGAGAATTAAGAGCAGAACCCAAATCTCATGACTCCCAAAACCAATCTTGTTACACATGTTGAAACGATTGTGCTGATCCCTTCTATCACAGACAAATGTCCTGAGTGGACAAGCATCTGCATGGGGCTTAGCTGCCAGCTGGGGTTCCACCACAAAAAAAGTACAAGTAAACCAAGAACAGGACTAATAAAGCTCACGGGATTCCGCACAAAGCTAAAAAAATAGAGTGACACAAGTAGCAGCTTTATTTAAATCATCCAAGAGTACTACTGAATACACAAAATCTATCTCCATGTAGCACAACCTACATAGGAAGTAAGTATAATTATCAGTGGAAACATATTTTCCAATTGGTCATTTTTTGGTCTGATACAAAATGCTGCCAAGCTAAAAATCAAAAGAGCTTTAAGTTATTTCAGAGAAGAGCTCAGTCTTTTTTCTGAAAACAGTAAATTGTTTTAAAGAAAACAAACAAAAACAGTTAAAACTTTTATATCAGTGCTTTTCCAAGATATTTAAACATAAACTTTGAGACGAAATTTTTATTTTGAAATTGACCAAAATTATGACTTACTATTAAAACATTCTTCAGCAAGTGGCATTATTGGCTAGATACCGAACTGTAACTAAAACTACACAAAACAAATTAATTTACTGTAAAAAATGTTACTGTAAAAGTGTTCCTGCATATTTCTTCTCAACACTAAACCATTTTACAATACAAGATTCTGATATAAAGTATTTTAATCTGAAAGCATGTGCTGTATACAGTACTTACTATGGTTAGCATGTACTATAAATTGAGGGACAAACTCATTTCCTGAGAAACTTCAGCTTGTACCATTAGATTTAGTAAAGCTTACCCAATGTGCTGGTTTTGGCAGGGCTAAGCCTACTTTTACTCACAGTGGCTAGTATGATTTAAGATGATATTAAATCTAGGTACCTCCCCTGAGCAGGTTAAACCACAACACCTTTAAATCGTTTAAGGAGCAATTTAAAAGGGAAAGCAGCACTAAAACTGAGGTCTCAGCATTTAAGATAAAAGCTAGCAGTCATTCTAAATCTGGGCTTTGTCAAATCCAAAACATTCATATTTTCATTTGCCAGTGTTGTATCCGTATCAAAGAATACTACAGTTATGTAGATAAGGGTAAAATGGTACTCATTAATTACTTTCTACTGCTAAATTTAAAACCAGATTATACTATAAAGGATGCTTTCTTTATAAACCACAAGACTGAGCAAGACCTATTGCTCTGCAATTATGGAGAATCACTTAGAAAAACTAATTTACATGTGACTATATACTACTGACGTGCATTTTGCACGTTCTTTAGGTGCTTCTCACCAATTTCCTCTCTGGGTAAAAAAAGCAATAAAATAAAATAATCTCCTGGGCAAATGACACAATGGCTCATTAAACCCTTTTAGCCATGAAGATGCTGTTAAACATTATGTCACTTCTTTAATGACATTTTCCTCAGCAGTGTGTTTTCAGTGTAAGGCAGACGTTCACCAGGGTTCTGGTTTGGTGCTGCACGTACACCTGAACAACTCGCTTCTCTTATCAGCTCAGAAATTGTTACTGACATCACAACCACAGCTATTTACATATAAAGAATTAACAGTTTGTTCTGTTACTATTAACTGCCAATTTCAAGCAAAAACGGATAGGCCATTTACATTTTGTTTTGAGAATGTACATGAAGACGACAGTATTGCAAAGTACCTCACACATCCCTGTAAATGTTAAATAGAAGTTTATTAGATGCTGAATATAAGCTAATTTAACTGAAACGTCAGACATATTTATCTTCTGTAATTCAATTGCATTTTACTGTCCACTGCAGACAAATTCCGTGTTCCTGTATGTATTCAGACTGGAGACTTAATGAAGCAAAATAGCTACACTTAGTTTCAAATTGTTTTCCCACTGTTTTATATTGCAGTCTTGGGTTTCTCATTTTCAGGCATAAGTTGATCTTTCTGAGCAGCTATTTTACTGTGGCTTGTGGTTCTCTTCGGTTTTCTGTTTTCAGTGTTTACAAACTAATTAATTACATGGAAATTAAACTTCTGCTGGTATCTATGGGGATTCAAATAAAGGCAAAAAAAGGGCAGGGGTGAAGCATGCAAAGCGTTCTTAATCCTCCCTCCCTTTTATTTTCTTTAAATTAAATAAAACCCAAAAAGTACAGTGCACTGCATTCCTTACATTTACTTTAACCAGAACTATTTCAAGACCAACATTTTTTCCAATCTATGGTTTACAGCATACCTAACTTATTTCATTAATACATACAAAACTGAAGATGCTGCAACATGAAACAGATAATTTCTTAAGCACTAAAACTTCATAGTATTAAGATATCAGTAAGTGCATGGTTGTGAGTAGGTATGTGTGAGGTAGGATGAAAGTGGGGCAAGAAAGAGAAATAAAACACACATATACACTCACTGTCTCTCACCAGTAACAGGAAAACATATTTATACTTACTTATTCTCTTAGTATAAGAGCTAAACAACTTCTATTTAAGTCAGTACAGAAGTCAAACAGACTTGAAATCAGAGAAATTTAAGCCACCGATATTTGCATTAAGGCAGTGTCTTACAGCCCCTCTACCTCCCAAGCAAACTCCATGGCTCACAGTACCCTCTGCCCAGTTAGGCATCAGTTGGGCTCTGGGTTTCACTCCACAGCTCTCCTTGTGCCTCTGGAGCAGGAGCAGTGTTTGGAAAACATTCCTACCTCACCTCTCTTCGCCTCTGAGTATACCAAATTCAATTATTGTTGTGTGGACTAGCAAGATTCACAGCATTGGCCAAAGTAGGAAAGCAAAATTGATTATTACCTTTCCCAAAGAACAAGGCACAGAGATGTGCACAAGTACTTAAAACAGCTCAATGGGAACTATGTTTCTCACAGAGCTAACAGTCTATTGATAGTTGACATAGTTTGAATAAAAATGTAAGCCAAAACACAAAATAAAGCACATAACATGATTTAGTGGTCAATAACGAGAGTGAGATGAATGGAAGAGAGCTACATAAAGCAACAGAAAAAAATTGCCACAAGGTCACTCCTAGAAAACTCCTGATCCCTGTTTAAATGGTCAAGAGGATGATTTACTGATTGTAACAGAACCTACAAATCCAGCTGCAGCAACACGTTTACCTTTCCTTGTTCCGTTTTTATGCATGACACACACTACCATCTGCTGGACAAATCCAATAACATAACACTGAACTCATCCAGTAACATACAATGTGGCTTCTGGTATTTTTTTTTTGTTGTGAGAACCTCTTTACCATTATGTTTACCTGAGGCAGAAGCAAAACAACCTGGGATGTGTGGAGACCATATAGTGCTGTAAATAACCCCTTCGTGGCCTTTAAAAGTGCATAATGACTTCCCCACAGCTGGATCCCACTGAATAAAACAAAAAAGAAAAGAGTTGAGGCTCACATTCAATAAGAAAGGAAAGGGTCTCATATAGTGTAAAAAAAATAAAAAGCTTTATATGTAAAGAAAGGATTATATTAATTTGTTTTTACCATATATCATGAAAAGCATTTGTGGCATAATGATACTTAAACTGGTATCAATTAAAGATTAAGGACCATATGAGTTAAAAAAGAATTTCAACCTTGGGGAAAAATAAAGAGGACAAGTAAATCAATGCTGTTTCTTAACACAAAGAACTATCAGATCCAAAACCAATCCTATTTTTCATCTTCAGCACAAAACCAACATACCAGCTTGGCTGTTTGATCCCATGAACCAGACACCACTAGTTGCTCTCCTCTAGTTTGGCTCCAGTCAACACTGTATGCCTATAAAAGATATAACACCCCAGTTTAGAAGGAGCATTAGAATACAAGTTTGAGACTCTAGTTAGCCAAAGTTTTGCAAAATAGACTTGGATTTGCAGATTGTATCCTAGTCTGCCAAAAAACCATACACGTCAAGCCCAACAAAACTGTCAAAAATGCCCTTTACCCGGAAAAAATTAATTCAGCTTCTCAATCAGACATTAAAGGTACATATAGACTCAGAAAAGTATCCAAAAATTCAAAGATGAACCAAAACAGAGGGGGAAAAAAAGTTTGTAATAAAATCCACATACATCCACCATCACATCATTTTAAAAGCCATAACTCAGAATCACTTCTTACCTATGATCCAATATTACTCAAATATCTGTAGTTTCTAATTGCTAGCAATGTAAATACCATCTCTCTTCAGAATTGACTTTGAGGTTTTAGCTGACTAGCAATAAAGGCTTTTTTACTACATCTAATTCTCATAAGAAATACAGGTCATAAAAGACTCCTGCTTTTCATCTTTTCCAGGTCCTATGACATTCCTTTTTTACCATTCAAAACCTCAAAAAAGTAAAATAAGATTAAAAACTCAACTTCCCTCATAACTAATAATTTGAGCTATAAAGAAATTGCTTTTCACTGTGTAGCTGAAATTATCTCCCTCTTCCCTTACAGCGTATTCTAATGCTGGTCCTTGCCTTGACAGAGGGTACTTTCACTCCATCCTTCACTGCTGATTTTTCAGCTCTGCTGCCATGGAAAAACAAATGCTCTATGGTAGTTCTTCCAATTATTTCAAATCCTCAAGTCTCAAAAACATGTACAACTTACAATTTCAAATCTACATGATGGAAGAAGCATTCCATTATGTCTAGCTTTACCTCACACAAATCAGCTGCAGTGGTACATGAACCATTTCAGTGCTAAGGTGGATAAATATTAGCTGGAACAGTTTATTTGCTTCATCTCCTGACCCAATCAGACCTCCCATGACACTTCTCAGAAATGTGGTCACTACCTACCAGTAGTAAGTGACACTGCTCTCAACAGTTACACCATAACCCCTGAGGATATGCACTCCAACCAGGATAATCTAGTTGTAGCACAGCACCGGATCTGATCTGCAAGCCTACATACTAGATGCTGTGCTTGTTTTGGATAGATGGAATTGTGCATTAAATGGCAGCAACCCTGTTTTGAAGCTGAAAATGCTTGGACCTGTGTCACCAGACAAAAAAGGAGAGAAGCTAAAAGGGAAAAAACCCGCAAATGCCAGTGTCTTCTAAGGAAAGTGTCCTGCGTGAGAAAGGAAATTGAGGTAACATTTAGCTACTTCTGTGCATTTTCCATCTTTAGAAAAATTTCAGTCTATGCTAGATCCAGCTTAAATGAATGCTTTTCATCTATTTGCTTATTTTCCGTAAGTGGAAGGCAACCACTGCCCACAGAAAACCAAAGTGCATTATCTGCAGTTGTCCTTTTTTATTTTACAAAGTCCTGTTTCCCATATACTGAAAAGCATACTGCCCTGGCACCATTCTGTACTAGCTCTCTTCCTGGAGGAGCTTACAGACCAAATGTACAAGGCACTGGGACAGTACTTGACAAAAACCAAATAACCCACAGAGGTAATTCTTTTGTTTGTTTTGACAAACCATTACTTTACCTCCTGACTTTTCTACTCTTGTTAGCTAAGTGATTACACTGCAGCTCATTAAAACATTCTCCCTTCCAGCCTGACTCCCCTTACTAAAACAGTAACAAAGGAGACACACAAGTACCTCCACACATTCTAAGAATGGAAGACAGGATGGTTCTCTGAAGTGGCTCCTGAGCCCCTCACAAACATTAACCTCTCTCTTTATCCCTGAATCTGTGTGAGGTCTATGTTCAGCTCCTAAGCTGCTGCTGCTTGGGAATGGCCCTTAATGTAGCACTACATAGCATGTCTCTTTCACACAACAGCTCAGTTGAAGTGTTTGGCTCTCATAATCATGTTCAAGGTTTTCCAGAAAGAAATGTCTCTGAGAAACACACACCTGAGTCACACAATTCACACAGCCCATATTTGACAGACTGTATTTGGGATGTATCAGATGCACTGTACAGACAAGGCAAAGGGCACGTACAGCTTCCAGCTCACTCTCAAGCTATCAGCACATACATCTGCTCAACACGTGTTGTGACACAGATCTGTGGACATATGGCAGACTTGGCTGGGACTGCTCAGCACTCTGCAGCTGCATCGGAGGCAATGGAACCTGGGCAAGTTCTCCTCTGGGCAAGAATTACAAAGAGAACAGACAGCAGGCTCAGAAAAAGCAATACCTACTGTCCATTTGGCATGTGACAGATCCAGGTAATAGGAAGAGAATGAAAAGAAGACAGTGTGGAGTACCAAGTAAGGTCGTTTTTATTCTTTCCTTTTCATGCTATAATCCAACAAAAATCTGCAGATGCTTCAACAGAAGCTGTGTTGAGCAACTGGGAAAGACTAATAGCACAACATAAACCTTAGCTGTTAATGTTTTGGTGCTTTATCTTCCATTATAAAATACATGAATACTAGTTTATGTCTAAACAGCAGCAAGAAATGCCTCAGGCAAGATGAAAAGATGAGGGGAAAAAAAGATGTAAAAACATAAAAAATAGTTCGAAATAAATGTTCAGGCTCATTTTACAAATTTAATTCAAGCATTCTATTGTCTCTCATTCCAGTGAGACTCCTTCAAAACCAAAGTAAATTAGACTAATTTATTCATGAGATTCAGCAGTTGGTTAGTGCTGGAATAAAACTCATTGTCCTTTGATAGTACAGATTCGCTTTTAAATTAAAAATACACACTCTTTTGAGGAGGGACAATGATCTAATTTTAAAATCCAAGAAACAGATCCCTGTCAATCAATAATAGAAAATGCAGTGGCAAAATGCAGAGTTAGAAATGTCAGACAGGGATTAAGGATTAGGAAGCTAGTGAATCATTCCAGAGAGCACAGTCTGCCAGTGTTACCACAAACTATTAGGCAAATTCCCTCCCAGTTCTATCCTCTCACTGCACATTTATAAAGAATCAATACAAACCTTTTGTATTTCACAATAAACTCAACCCACATTTCCTACAGTGTCTCTCTAGTCATAGCTGAACATGCCCACTTCCCCATGCTACCTGCTAAACTAAGGTTTGGGATACAGAAACGTTTACTTCACAAACAACAGATGGTGTAGCAGAACTAAATGAGTTTATGGACAGAATTTCAACAAGAAAATAATACAAACTAACCAAAAAATTTGCTACTATGCTTCACCTACATCTTTCTGTTACTACAATCAGCCTTGGAACACCATCATAAAATCCTGATCACAACTACACACTCCTCTCTCAAAATTCTTTATTTACATAGTACATGTATTAAACCAAAGCAGTAAAACTACAAAGAAATAAGGTACAAAAGATGGACTGTCATATAACTGCAGTCACTCAGCCTTTAGCTTGGTGCTTCATACCTGAAAAAATCTAGAGGTTTTTGTGAACAAAACTGAATTTCCTCCATTTTTTATTGATTACATATCTACTAGGTTATTTTGTTGAGATTAATGTAATTTAGATAAAGCATCAGTAATCCAGGCTGAAACTGATTGCATCTAAAGTTCCAAGACTTGACAGAAGTGGAGAGTTAGAAGGAAAGCATAGAAAAGGGAAAAGAAAAACCAAGAAAAATCACTTAAGATATATGTAATACAATATAAATATCCTGCAAAATTATGCAGATGTATTTATGAACATGAATATAACATTTTTGTCTACTCATATAGCACTGCATAAAGGAACTGAGATTTTAAGAAAATCAAATGCAACAGGCCAAAAACCAAGGCCAAAAAACATGCCTGCTGTATCAAACCAAGGCCAAAAAACATGCCTGCTGTCCCAATGTTTGACTACTGTTATTTGAGTAGGATCTCATTGATGGCAGGATGGAAAAGGGTAAGCAGTTCTGGGTGCACAGAAGTCCTCAGGATCTGCACAATGTGTATCACTCTACATCCTCAAGGATAACACTGATACATCTACTGTCTGATTTAGACCTATCCAAAAAGGCCCTCTAAAAATCACAGCATGACTGCAGTAATTTCACACAACACAATGATTATTTAGACTGTAAAGAATCACAAATGCTATTTCTGAATATATTAGATTAATGTAATTTAAGCAGTTCCTACTAGAGCATACGAATGTGCACAAGAATATGTACAATAGGTTCAAAATCATGTTATTAATTCAAAACACAGACCCAAAAAAGTTAAAAAATAAAAAACAAGAAACCACTTTTGATTATAAGACCACAATTAAATATTTGAATTATTCAAACATTAGATGATCCATTAATTTTTTTCAAGTTTGCCTGGTTTACCTCCTGAGTGTGCTCCTTATAGACTTGCAGTGGACCTTTGGTTTTAGCTGTATCCCAGATTTGCAGAGATCCATCTCCGCTAGAAGTGATCAACACATGTTCATTATTCTCACTCCAGGTCACATCAAACAGGCCATCATTCCAGTCAAAGCTAAATTGGAAAAATGAAGAGAAAAAAATGTGAGAAAGCATGCCATAAAAGTCTGAACTAGTTACATGGAAAGACTGTATTCCTTTAAATTGCCCTTTTTACCATTCTTAACAGCATTTTCAAATACTTGAGTTTCAATTACCTTGCTATAGTGCCAACTTCTACAATTGTATGCCAGAATATATTGATTAAGTTAGAGCGTAAAGGAGCCAAAGACTTTCCACACCCAGAGAATCAACTCTGACTTCAGTCTTAAACTTGCCAAAGACACAGGAACAACATGTCTCAGTCTGATCTGTGGTTTCCCCAGGATGCTGCTAGAGGTAGGAGCCCTTTGTCTCTAAGAATTGTAGTAACAAAGAAATAAAACTGTGTTGGGAGAGCTCTATCCGATTCACAACACCTGAGTCACAATGAAAAAACATCAGAAAGACAGTCACAAACTTATTAACAATTTGCTTAAAAGGGCTTCCAACACACCAGCAATTTATCATATGGGATCTGATACCGTAATTAGTTGCTCTGCAACAACTATCAATGACCACGCTATTATCTGATGTCAAATACGAATTTATTCACTCTCTTTTCACTGAAGGTTCAGCTAAGCTCAGGTTAAACCTCATGGCATCCTGGAGTAATGATGAGGGAAAGGCACACAGACAGTGTGCTTCAATAGAGAAAATACCATAGTTCATGGCTCAGGAAGTTACAGGACTTTCTACTACAAAGTAAGTGGAGTCACTGGAAACATAGAAATGAAAGGTACTAAACCAGACCACTTAGCAGAAGTAACACTGTCAAACAGCTTCAAAGAGTCTTACCTCATAATTATCAATGAAAAGCAGTTTCCCTGAATATGATTAACTATTTGTTAAGCATTTCTATTTCAGCTCTCTTAATCTAAACAATTGTTGTTTCAAAATTGTCCTTAAAAAGATTTAGGTCAATGATGGTCAAGTATTAAACTCACTCCTTCCTAACCTTTCTCCTCCTTCTATCCAAAACACAAATCAAAACTCCTTTCCAACCCTCAGAGGAAGGACCTCCGGAACTGTACATAGCTTCCTGCTCTCTCTTCAGCATAAGTCAGTCATAATGGCATGAATTTAGGTGGCAAGGCACCGTTCCTAAAATGCTAAAACTGAGGATTTCAAGCTAAGAGAAGCTGCTTTTAACTTACATTGTCAGTTTTCTATACAACGGTTTACACTGCAGAAAGATGCAAGCCAGGTGACTTCCCACAACAAAATCTATGCAATGTAAACATCTTTTTCACATTGTATGTAAACACATTCATTTGTATGTAAATACAAAGACACTATTCAGTAGGTACTACAACATAGATACAATATTAACAATAACCCGAAGTATTTGGGTTGTGTCTTGTACCCACAAGTACACATTAAGATTTTTCTCTTACAAAAATAATCCTGTTACCTCCTGAGAAGAACAATCCCAGTTTCATTTTCTTCCAGCACCGCCAAAGTTCCACAACCTAAACCAGCAAAATAAAACAAAACATCACAACCAGTACCCTCACGCCAGAGGAGACTAGTGTGGTTCTGAGGTAGCTCCAGTGTGCAAATACAGAAGGCCAAACCATCAGTTCCATAATTAAACATCTTGTGGTCTCATGTTCTCTAAAACAGTAATTAATTTACATCAGACTGTTTTGGTTTAGTTTGGGTTTTTTTCGCTCCAGTATATCTGTAGGTGAGGTTGAAAAAAGACTTGCTTATAAAGCATAAAAGAACATTTTCCCCCATGAGCCTTGTGTGATAGACATACCAACATGGGCTTCCCTTTTTGTTAACACAGCACACATAACACCTTGTTTCACCCCTCCTGAATCAAGTAATACAGAGCTCACCAGAAACTAAAAAAATAATTCAGTTCTGGTAAAACACACACGGGCTCTCACTTGCCATCCGACTGGGATATTGTCTGAGTAATTCCATGTTTAGAAACTTTATTTAAGTTGAATGCTTTGGGGAGCAACACTCCCACTGGAAATGAAAGAGGTCCCAGTAGTGAGGGACGCTCTGCCAGCCTCTTCCACAGGACCCAGGGTCGCCAAGGCCTGCCTTGACACTGACGGAGATGACAATGGCTGAAAACACAGAATATCCTGATTTCGGATGGACCCACAAGGATCACCAAAGTCCAACTCCTGTCCCTGCACAGGACAGTCCCAACAACCACACCGTGTGCCCCAGAGCACTGCCCAAACACACACCGAACCCTGTCAGGTGAGTGAGCAACCTTTACCTAATACCAAACCTAACCCGCCCGACACAGCTCCATGCCGT